CCAAATAAGGAAAAGATTGTCCACCTATGGAGTATTTTTGACAGTGTCTATGAATGTAAATAAGTCATTCAATAAAAGATGAGTAAGAAAGTATATTTGGTGGAATTTTATAAATTAAATAGAGAACAAGGAAAGGAAGATGTAGATTAGGCTAGTACATATGACATTATAATTTTGTTTTGAATATATAACAAAAGATTGTCATTTGAGCTCTGAGTCACAAAGTTGATGTCAAAATTCCTATTTTGAGATGACAATTTTATTTTATTGTCAGAATAAGATTTAGTAAGACATAAAGCAGAAAGAAAGGAAAAAATATTATTTGGAAAATTACATAAGTGACTTGAGAGGTGTAACAAGAGAAGACAATGGATTTGAAAATGATTTAGGAGGTAGATCAGCCAGAGTTTGGAGCTGATTGAAAGAAGCAGGAGAACTCAAATAGATGAGGTAGATGAATGGTGTTCATCTAAGGAATTGCTGTATGAAGGAAAGGTAAGAGGAAATTTAAATTTTTTTATTTTACTTAGGGGCATATCAAATGAGCTGCTTTTGAGATAGGCAAATGGTCATGTCAAATAGGTGCTGCGTATAAATAAAAGTAGGTCATGTGACAGTATTGCTGTGGGATAGTCATTTGCCATTGATTGGTGTTTAGATGTGGGTATGACTGAAAAGACCCTGCATAAAACAATATGATATCAGGTTCTAGATCCTGTGGTCTGTGGATTCCAACTATTAAAGACTAAATAACAAAAATGAAACACACAAAATGTAAGAAAGATCACCCAGAGATATACATTAAATCACATGCGTGGTACTTTTGTGTCTGCACATGTGTGTATAAGGGAAGGCTGTCAAACAAACTTAAGGAATATTGCAGTTTTCATTGTATTTCCATTGTTAAATTATCTTTACATGAGCTATTTACTTTCTCCCTCTTTCCCTCCCCAACCCCTCCAAGTTGTACAGATCATTCCCAACTTATTGTCCCAACATATTGTCTTGCGAGTTTCGCTGTTGCATAGGTACCCCTTTGTCCTTTGTCTCACCATTTTGTTGTTCTCCTTCCCTTCCCTAGCTCATATAAATGTATATACACTTCCCAGGATACCAAAATCAAATGCAGTGACAACAGGGGACAAACCATATGGGGGAAAAACTTAAAAGAAAATAGAAAAAATTAAAGTCAAAGAAATGTGTGTTGTGAAGTACCCATTTTCGGATGCCCCCTCACAGACCACCAGAGACCACGATCAACGCAAGCAGGAAAGAGTCGTTTATTGCAAGCTCCAGCTTGGTCCTCTGGGCACTCGGTGACCAGTGACGCTAAGAAGCCCCCAGCATAGAATCAGCACAGTTTTTATAGTATTGAACAAACAACTTTAAGGAACTTTTACATAAAAATACATGATTGGTTAACATTTAAAGCAAGCTAAACTGGGCAAATACGATTGGTTGCTCCTTACAGAAAAATAACTATATCCTATGACTTGACCACGAATGGTTCTGAATCACAGCAGGGTCAATAGTTCCCAGGAGGTGTTTCGCTCTGGGTTCTAAGGAATAGGTCGGTTGGAACGTTAAGTGGTTTTCTCAAAACCGAAACTTGGCCCTAGGTCACTCCCGGGACAACACTTTTTAACTGATGGCGGCCCTCTGGCTCCTTACCTCTTTCATGTGGTATTATGTCTCTTGAATTTTTGGGAACATAGAAGGTATTAGGTTTATTCTGGAGATTTCCATAGAATTACATATTAAATATTTTACCTCATTTGGTCTTTGTTTTTACATAAAATTCCACAAGAAGTTTCTAAAGGGAGTATTGAACAATGCATTGAGGAATTTGTTATACAAAATTTTGCCTCTAATAAACTGTCTATACTAAATAGGCAGAACTAAAAAAAAAGCATACTTTATTTTCTGTTTTCTTACACCAATATTCCACAATATAATTTCTTTACTATAGTAGAAACTGATTGCTATCCTCCATATCCTTCAACAAAACCCATTCCTATGTTCTGAGTAGTGTAGAAATGTCAGGGAAATAATACTTCTCTTCTTTACCCAGAGAGCAATCTCCAAACAAACCTTAATAAGAATTAGAATATTCAGTAGTAAATATTTCTGTCCCTTCACTATTGAGTATTATAGAGCTGAGTTCTACAATGGGATGGAATTTCTGTGGCTAAAATATAATCTGTTTGGTATCACAGGGTTGGTAGGCTTTATTTTTCATCCATTCTTTTCTCCTTTCTCAGTACTTTTTGAGACAGAGTCCCAGTCCTCATAAAAGCCATGCCTCAAAATTTTTACTAGGATAGTGCATTAGTGTGAGCTCTCTAGAGAAACAAAACCAATTACACATACATATAAAAAGAGATTTATTTTAAGGAATTGTTCACACTATGAGTCTGACAAGTCCCAGAGAACGTGGAAAGGAGAGACTCAAACCAGCCATTGGCTCGTTTCAGGCTGAGTTGCCTGGTTTATAAATCCTAGTCCAAATTGAAGACAGGGAAGACAGATACTATTATTGTGGTCTAGTTATCAGCTTTTAGGCACTGTCACAAAATAACAACCATTATGATATTAATAGGGAACAAGTTTTACTTTGACTCACACCAGGAACTTCAAACCATGATTGGTGGGCCCTGTCACTTTGAGCCAGTGGAGGTACAGTTAATTGTGGTAAATGCACAAGGAAGCTGAGTCCTGTTCTCCTAATAGTGGCTAAGAAAGCAAAGAGACAAACAACAATACCATCTTCAGAGACACATGCCAGTGAACTTCCTCCTCTAGGCCCAACCTCCTTAAGTTTCTCCTACCTTCCAGTAGTGTCATAGGCTGGTGATCATGCTTTCAACATCTACCCTTTGAGGAATGTTCTAGATCCCAATGACAGCCAATCAAAGGGCAGAAAAATTCCAGATCCCAAGTTCAAAGATCCAATTTCTGGGCACAGGTTTAGTTTCATCATTATTCTTTGTAGGTAATACAAGTTGGGTGAGCCCACCTATATTATGGAGGACAATTTGCTGCACTCAGTATATGTCAATCCTATTTTGAAAAATCGTTTTCACAGAATCAATTACAATGCTTGACTTAAGAGCTCTATATCCTATGGCATAGTCAAATTGACATAAATTAATCCAATCTCTATTATCTTCCAACCTGTTCCCTAGAAATACATCTTTCTTTTAAGATATGACAAAGGAAAGTGATGTTGTGTATATATTGTCTAAAAGTAAAAAGATATAGGCTTCAGTTTGCCAACAATAATTCTGACTCATCTCTCTTACCCTGCATATGATCACTATGTTTCCACATATCCACTTTCACTTTTAAAAATTCTGGAATCAGTATGCTTACTGTAAGCTCCGCCTTACCATTGAATTCATTGAAACCGAAAGTGATAGGCTGGTTTAAGCAGCTATTATGTGACAAAGTGTAACCTCATTGGCCACCTGTGTGTGGTCTAGTATGACTGTGCAATCTTTTGGGTGTGTGACAATCTCATTGGTCACCTGCATGACCAGGCTTGACCTTGTGAAATTTGCCTTTAAAACCTAAGTACATGGGCCACTCGGGGTCACAGTATCAGCACCCGAGCCTGTGCTGCGGCCCTGGCTGGTCAGTGTAGGAACCTTCTCAATAAAGTGCCTCCTTAATAAAAAAAAAAAAGTCTGGAGTCAAAAATGTATGTAATTTCTATTCAACAAATGACTCACAAATGTAATAATATTAATAAATGCTAATGAAATTATATGTAATTTTTTTATTCAGTGTACACATCTACCAGTTAAAAAATGATTACAATGAACACATCTCTTCATTTTCTTAAATAATTTTTTAGACTGGACTTATTATAAAGAATAAGAGGTACCTATCTGGACTATTCATTCTATTTTGGGAATTCACACCAGAAGTAACACAGATTAGGCAAACACAATATTCCCGATCTCAAACACAGTATTCCTGATCTGCACATTGGTCCCTTTGATTTTTTGTTTTGTTTTGTTTTTTAGATTTTTAAAATTTTTATTTTCTTGTTAAGATGCTGTACAGAGAGGTTACAATTGCATCAGTAAGGTAATGAGTACATTTCTTGTTGGGCATTTTTACCCCCTCCTTTGTTTTTCTCCCACTATCCCTGCCTCCTCCACCTTCCCCCAGTTCCCTCTCCCACAATTGTAAGGTACATTTCCAACATAGTGCCTTGTGAGTATCATTGTTGTGATGAGTCATCCTTAAATCAGGTTTTCTTCATGGCCATACATCCTGATTTTGAACTCAGAAAATGTAGCCTCACCATCATGAGTAATGGGATTAGAATCATGTCAGCACAATGGCATAGCTTAAAGTTATACAAATTAGAAATATAAATATCCTGTACTATTCTTGAATTTTCTACAAGTAGATATGATTTTTATCTATATGATACCTACTTGGTATATCAAGTAGGTATAGTTTTTTAACAAGGCACATTTTAACTCTTAATAACATTTTAAGTAGCTATTCAGTTTGCTTTAGACAGCTTCAGGTGCTCAGTGATATGTTACTTCATTCTGAAAATACTCAGTATTATGCTTCTGAGATAACAGAGGAAGAGTTCACTAGGGGTTCCTTATTGTGACTCCTGTAACAATGATGTGCTGTATTTCAATGCACATAAATACATTCAGCCCACACTAATAGCATTCATAGCATCTATAAACAGTTGGAGAAACAATTGTTTGAAATACTTGATATTCATTTGAACCACATTTTGCCATTTCACTTTTCAATCTAGATTTCAGAGATGCTCCTAAGATATTCATATATTTCTGTTGGATTTGCATGGAGAAGAACTTCTTAAAATTGAGTTGCCTCAGGAATCTTTTATAAATGCATATAACTATAAAAAAGGAAATAATATATGAACATAAAGAATGTATGGAGAAATTAGATATCATCTGTGACTAATAACCTGTCTTAATATTCTTTGTTTTTTTTTCCAGATACACCTTCAGTTAAGATTATACCATCTACTCCTTTTCCACAAGAAGGGCAGTCTTTAACTTTGACTTGTGAATCCAAAGGAAAACCACTGTAAGTAACTTAACAAGCAATAAAGACTTTCACTATATCCTTATTTGTACAGGTTTTAACTAAATAAACATATTAGTTTTTTTTTCTTGGTGGGCAAATGTGATCCTTGGAATAGAAAACCCCTGAACCATGTCTTCATTAAGCTTCTGGGGAAGGTTGGCTTTTACTTTGCTATCTAGAGAAATTCCTGGGAAGATTTCCAACTATGCCTTTTTTTAAAAAAGCTTCAATAAGATATTTTAACTTGGGAGGAGTAAAGGCTTAATCAATCACTATTTATTTATTTATGTCACCATACTGATAAAAGTGGCACTCTACTAAATTTAATTTTCCTAGAAAGTGGAAAATATTTAAGTATCCTCAAAGTTTCAAGAAAAACAGGCATATACCCCTAATGTAGTACCCAATGAAAATATGGTTTTCAAATGTTACATGCTTCAAGCAAACATGAAATAAGATTTTAATATTAGGGCATGTTAATGTTGAGGTCAAGTTAATTCTAAAGGTTTTCTTTTCACCATACATGTTCATAAACAGCTAAATCATAGGATGCTACCTTTTTCTCAATGTACTGTGGTGTGAGGCACTCCAACAGCGGAAACCAATTCCAGACTCTTTTGTCTAGTTATTTACCAAAAACAAAGACAAACTCCTATTTTTCATACCATCATTCCAGCTTCTTTCATTGAGATGGAGACTCAGGGACTTTTCTCACTGGGCTTTCCTGGCACCATAAGCTTCAAGACCTCAGACTCCAGTGTAGCTTGAATGACGGGTGAAGTCAATGCGTCAAACTTTTGGTAAAAAAGGAGTGTTGTCTATATGCTAGAGCTGGCCATGAGCATGATCCTCCCCATCTCAGCTTTCCAAGTACTGAGAGTTGTAGGGATGAACCACCATAGCCCAGGACACAATTTTTTTAAAAAACATAATATATTTAAATATGAATGATTTGTGAATAGATCATTTAATAGTAATTGAAAATGATGTGATGGTTTTAATAAAATAACACTCTAGGCCTAACTTTGTGAAATGTTTGATTTTTAAAAATCTTCCAAGTCATTTGTGTTTAAATTTTAATAGGAGAAATTTAATTATATTGTATTGTATTATTTAATTATATTATTATATGGGAGAGTCTCTGCAAAGCAGTTTCACTTGCCAAATTTTACTTCTAATTATAATTAAATTATTAAAGTATAGGTACCAGCTTATGTCATGACAAACCTTTCTCCATGAACTATAAAATATAAGCTTGACATTGAAACTTTTTTCTATTAATCACAGTAAGTAAATCAATGTTATCTTTATTACCATTTTGATATATATATATATATTTTAATTCCTGACTCTTTGGAGCATTATTTTCCTGGGATGAAAGGACACTGGTTTTCTGGGTTCAGGTGACTCACCTGTAATTCTAACTACTTGGGAGGTTATGTTGGGAGCGAGGGTAGTGGTATAATGTCAGCCCCATCAGGACATTTTTGAGTGTTTTTTTTTTTTTTCTCAGCAAATAACTGGCTGCAGTTTTGTGTGGCTGTCTTCATGAGGTGAATTTGTAGCTGAAATAAAAAGGATGATGATTCCAGATTAGTGTAAGCAGAAGAGTCTACAGCCTATATTTATGGGATGGTAGATTGGGGGGGTCATACCTGTCAGTCCAGCAATGATAGAAAGCTGAAAGTAGATAGACCATGGCAAGAAATAAGTCTCAAAATTAACCCCTGAAAACATTTCTAGAGGCATGGCTCAAATGGTAGGGTATCAGACTACCAGTAGAAGGCCCTGAGTTGAAAAGAAAACACAAAAAAGAATACAAAGTTTTATGAGCAATTTATGCATAATTCTATTGTTTTTCCACTTAAATATATGAAACCACTTTAGAGCTAATTGAACATACTTTTATGGTAGCTTTTCTGTCTATATAGCCTGTTCAATTCATATTCATAGTTTCACCTTCAGAGAAGTTGAAGTTGCTTATAGAAAACTGTTTTCTACCACAATATGTTATTTATATGTGACAAGTACTTTTCAGCAATACAGCCTCAGCTAGAACTTTTGACTATAAATATAGTACTTTAACCAGGCAAAGAAGTATAATGGATTTTACCCAGCTTAGATATATTTAAACAAAAATTTCTCAGATTCTGTATCACTATCTTCTCTACTTTCATTTATTTCTGCTATTATTGTTAGTGTAGTCTTTTCCTTGTCTCTCTTCTCTTGCTTTTGTTTTTCACAGCATCAGGATTAAGCATAGGGAACTATGAAGGAACATCAGTATAATCAGGATACGCAAAGTAATTTTGTGTTTACTTTTTTTCCTTCATCTTTATCCTAAGGTAAATAGTTGCACATTTGGTATACATGTGCAATATATTTGGTATATGTATGCAATATATGTATGTAGTATAGGAAGTTAAATGAGATGGAGGAAAAAAACGTGATATATACATGCTTAGAAATAAATATGTGCCTGCTCAAATAATCGTCAGCTGTCAGTGATCTGTTTTTGTTTGTTTGTTTGTTTTTAATTCAATGCCTCCTCCCAATGGTAGAGTCATCATTTTATATATACAAATAATTAGATTGACATTTATGAAATTACATATTTAAGATGTCCATGTCATCCACTTCAGACATTATTGAGTGGTTGTGCCTCATTGTGTTTCCTGGAGACTTCTTTAACTTGAAATAAGCTTGTGTGTAAAATATCCTCTCTATTGGAGATGATTGTAAAATATAATAATCTCATATACTTATTTTTAAGAATTCAAAGTTTGGTAATTTTAAGAAATAGAGGTCACCTTTCCCATAAATTTAGATTAATATGAACGTGCAAATGTAAAAGGAAAGTTAGAATGCTCCCTATTTTACGGAAGAGAAAATTAATGTTCAAGAGGATTAACTACAATTTTCTATCCATCTACATTGAAAATTGGTGAGACTAAGCTTGTAATTCAGTTCTATCCAAATCTTAGACTGTTTCAATTATTTGTGGCTACTTCAACTGCTGAGGCTAAATTGCCACTTATGATATCCAAACTTACATATGAAATTCTACTATAAGGCTAATAATAATTTTAACATGGAAGTTGCAGCTCTGGATGTTTTAGAGTAAAGAATTCACTAGCATTATGATATATTTAGTTTGCATGCTTATCTGACTTTTCTTTATATTTATGCCCTACTGTTTCCGAATTCTTATTCCACTGTTGCTAGCATGTTTGTACTCATATATGAAAAACTCCAATTAATATATGATCTTTGAGCAATTAATTCATAGATTTGTAAACAGGTAAAATAGTCATTTTCTGACTTCATTCTTACAATTTCTGTTTATACCCAAATTGTACACAACTAAAAGTGCATTAATTCATTCTCTTGTGTTATATCCCCATTTCCAGATTTTCATTTTCATTTCATTTCCATCTAAGCTGCTAGGCAATTGACAATAAAATGACAGCTTCGTGTGATTTCTTTACTTCTTCCTCATCTTCTTGGACCTATTCTCCATTTTTTAATGTGACCATCATTTCCATTAGATGAAGGCATTAACCTCTCTAAAGACAGTTTCCCTGGTAGCCTCTCAGGCATTAACCTCTCTAAAGACAGTTTCACTGGTAGCCTCTCTGTAGCTTGTTGTTTCCAACAGTGCCAGATGAGGCAGACAGAAAAAAGAAAAAAAAAAAAAAAGGAAGTGAAAGCTAAAAAGAAATTATTGAATTTCCCCAGAAGGAAATCTTACTGATCATCAAGAAAACAGTTTCACTAGAGCCCAGAGAACAGAAAGTAAATTGCAATAGATTAATCAGGGAGTTTGTAGGTAGTAGGCAAAGGAAGACAACCTCTAATCAGAATACAATGTACATCAGAGAATGAAACATGAACTGTGGAAGAGAGGTGATTAAAAGAAATAAATATTTTGAAATAAACATTTTAAAATAAAGCACGATTTGAAACAGTAGTGGGGAGGCTATCCATATTTTAAGAGAGGAACAAAAAAGAAAGAGTGAAAATGAACTCTGGGATAGTACAAACCTAATAGGCAGATTCAAGTTGCCTACTGCACTTTGGTAATCACTGCCAAAGTTCTGCTCCATTACCTCAGAGCTATTGCAACTGATTCCCCACTTGATTATTTTGGCACCAGGAGAAATATTGCTATTGCTTCACGTTCAATTGCTTCCCTAAACACTTAATGTCTATTAACTTTACTATTTACCTGATCCACCCTTAATGAACAAAAGAGAATCAAAAATGTAAAAGGGAAGCATTATGTCTTCACTTTTTTCCATTTTAGCTGACTTGAATCATTTCTGTGATCCAAGGCCAAATCTTTATTACTTCCTAAAAATAGTGTTTGATCAACATATGATTTCTAGAAGAATGAGTCATTCATCATTATTAGGCATATTGTTAACAGACAAAGCAACCCACTATCCTTTGTGTAAATCACAAAAAATGATGCCATCGCTCAAGTTGCATTGAGACTCCTGTTTGTAACCTGCCCTCCTGCATACTAATGTTGTTTTCCTTGTTCTAAATGTGAGGGCCCTAGTGACTGTTTAGGAACAATCATGCCTTATTTGCCTGCTTTGGACTGGAGCCTTTTGCCATTTTCCTGTGGAACAGCTGCATTACTTGGGCCAGAACCAAATTGTTCCACTTGACATTACTATACAGGCAGAGGCATCCCATTCTTTCCTTAAAAGAGAGATTACAGTACATGTCTGTCTATTGTTTTAATTTTAGTTTAAAGTGAGGACCCAGCCAATGACAGCCACTTTTCTTTCAAGTCCCCAGAGTTTTTGCAGTCTTCTTTTTTCCTTGGCTGAATTCCCAGACAGCTTTCAGGCAGCAACATTCTCCATTTATAAAAAAAAAAAAAAAAGGTTGCAGGGAGGAGGGGGGGGAGGGGAGGATGGGGACGGGGGGGGAGGGGGGGAACTTTATATTACACTAAAGTCATGACCTTAAGTGCTGCGTGGTTGCCG